TAGCCCTACATTCGCTCATTATTGCAAAGATTTAGGTTATTATGTGAAAACTAATGTTAACAAAACCCATTTCATCATAGTATTCACCTCTGAAAGGTGAACTTCTAAAACTGCTAAAATAATTACTCTGTAACAAAATCTTCCTGAAAGTTTACCAGCCCAAGATACAAAAGCCTCAACCACAAGTTACCTGGGTGATTGGTGATACCAGGAAAAGACAAATGCATCTTTTTCAAGCTATTATTGTAAGCAAAGAATATTGTACACAGCAAGACACTCTGAGGAGGCTCCTCACAGCCCTACTCCCTACACAGGACTTCAAGTTATACATGCATGCGCTCAGACCCTGGGTGGCATAAAGCTTCAAAGCTTCCTCAAAAATGACATCAAATTACCACTCAAGTGGGTATGCTAATGCTGCAGATCTTAACAGACCATCCCAAATTAAGAGAATTACAGCTTTACACCAGCTGTAACATAAGCACTCTCAGAGCACATACAGTTTGATGTCAACTACTGAAGTCAGGACAATTTAACACACAGCAAAGAAAATCTAATTCTATTGTCCTAATGAAAACATCTAAGCATAATTCAGCTATGGATGGAAAGCTAATGATTTAGCAACTGTTTTAAGAATGTAAATGTTATTATGCCCTGCGGAATCATAGCTATTCACTAAAATTATACTTCTGTATCTACCTTTCCTTAAAAAGCTGTCCAAATGCCCTTAAGCTGTCTGGAAGGGAACACTGCATGCACAGTGTTATTCTCAGCAGTTTATGTCATATGTTCAGATATTTGGCATTTATTCACATATATCCTACGCAAGAGTCCCTGCCAAAGAGTGCCAGGACCACACTAGAGACATCTACAGTGGCTGGCCAGTCTCAAGAGACACTCGCAATTGTACCAAACACTGTAATTTCAGTGTTTTGAATGTACTCAACAGACGAGCAACACAAAGAATTAAAATGTGATGCCGTAATTTTCTAAACCAATACACACACTGTTGGCTCCCTCTGGTGCTAAGTATAACGTAGTGTTACATACTGAACTGCCAGAGAAGTAAGGCAATGACATAATCCTATTTTTTGGTACAGTAGGTGATAGACATTCCAGTAGTAAGTGTTACAGCAGCAGATTTCCTCTTACAGACAAAATCCTTAAGTCCTTATTCACAGCCTGTACCAACAGCTCTTATGTGAAGAAAGCATGACACATACCTTTAAGAAGTGCCATTGTGATCCTGTGCACACAACACACACCAGGCTCCCTCCCTCACACCGCATTTTCACTTCCTACAAGTATGGTCTCCAACCCATTTTTAAGAGCAGATTTAAAAACCAGTTTCAGGCTCAAATTCATTAAATCGTCAGAGATTCCTAGAGTAGTTTTAAAAAGCAAACCAAAACCGCTTTTAAACCAACCTATTTATGATACTTTGTTCATATACACTCAAAAATATGTATTTGTTATGCCAAACAGACTATACAAATCAAGTCAATTTTAACTAATTTATTACTAAATCTCCTGTTCAACACAGTGTATGGAATAAAGCCAGTTGTTCTACTCACAGATTCAAGTGGATGCTTGGGTCTTTAAAAATTTTATTCAGATCTTTGAATTTCTAGTGACACACCAAACTACTCAAGTATGATGATTTACGCTGTAAGCATTATTCCTTGAATAATTTTTAACGGCTATCTGAAATTTGCTTGCAGCTATTCCAAGCTGTTCGACTTCCGATGCAAAACAAGGAAGTTTAATAATCTAATCCAGAAGGGCTGGATTTGTGTTGCTTTTTTATCATTGTGTGGAAAGAAGGGAAGTAGGCAGCAGGTTTCTTTTTCCTCCTCCCATTTTTAACAAGATAAAGGTAGAACAGTGTAAGGATATTGCCCCATACAAAGCCTCCTTTTCCTACTTATCAACACATTTAATCAGTGCTATGCGGAACAAAGTGTGTGGTACAAAATGATGTTAATCTCCACCTCCTGGATTAGCGGGGCCTCAGTGCAGTTCCCAACCCAGAGTTTAACCTTAAAAAATGGGTAATGACCCTATGGTTGAAAGGGATGCTGGAGACAAGGGCAAGAGAAGGGTGTTCCCAATGTGCTGCTTTTCATCCAGCTGTTCCTTGAACCTGTCACCCAGGCTGGCTGCTATCCTGTTCCTCCGGTTTCCAGGCAGCAGGAACTTAACCCGTCTCTCCCAAGAGTTAAACAAGTCTTGCTGGCATCCTCCAGTTACCAGTTTGTAAATACAGCATGAGACATGACTTAAGAAGATGACACCTTTTAAAATTCCATAGGAGCCACAGGTACATAGGGCCTTCTGAGCAAACATCTACTATCAAACTCAAAAGAATTCCTGAAAGCATTAATTCTGTAATTTAACTACCACCATCCTAAATCCTAATTAACCACACTTTAGCAAACTTTATATAGTTAGTCTAGGTCACTATTCCCAAGTACATTCAATTTCTGAAAAGAAGTTTAAAGTAGTCTCAGGAAGACCAGGAGCTAGAAGACTTTGGTTTACTCCCAAGCATCATCTTGACTCTCAGTTCAAGGCCTTGTGTCCCCACATGTTACATATGGATACTACCACATTTTTGCTTAGTGACGTTTGATGCCTTGAAGCAAGCTATTATTCACACTTAAGTCTTATTAATACCCCATCTAATATGAAATGTAACACTAGTGCTTTATAATGGAGTTCTATTTCTAGAATTTTGAACAGCAGCTATGTACCATTTTCTCCATGAGTGAAAACAAAAATATTTCTATTTGTCATAGAAGACACTATGTCTTCTAAAAAAAAAAACAAAACCAAAAACACAACCTCTTGTTAAATATTTCTAAATATGCAACATCACTTTGTACTAATTTTAAATAATACAAACCATCTATTTTAAATAGTTTTACTTCATTTTAAAATACTAACTTTTAGGGCAAATATTTTGCCCAAATGGAAGCTCAATATTAAAAAAAAAAGAGCCTTTTCTGTGACATATTATTAGAATCATTCTAATTTACAACATGCTTAACTGTAACACCAAGTGTCTACTTAAAGGAAATGACTGTAACATCACTAAGTCGTCTTTCTTTTGCTTCAATAGATTCCAGAGTGTATTTTGCCTTTTCAGCTGAATGAAAAGGAATCATCTCAACCAGCTTCTGGTCAGAAATCCAGAAAGAAATGTGTTCAATATCATTAAGTCACATGAAAGTATGCCTCGTACAGAAGAAGAACCAGCACACTGCCACTGAATTATCAAAAATAGCTTTTCTTCCTCAACATGGACAGTATCAAGAACACTAGCAGACAACTAGGTTACAAACTGTCACTTCACCCTTGACTACAAACACATTTCCAGTGTGAGAAGAGTAACATGAACTGCCTTTAGTTGCCATTGTATAACAAGCCTTCCTGGAGAGTGTGGAGGATTACATGCTCAGCAGAGGCACCAAAGACAGCCCTTTGCCATCATAGGCAACATGCTTACAACTGCTGCTGAGCTTGGTACCTGAGAGGTGGGCTGCAGGTTATACAGCATTACTGCTGATATAGCAAGCCTGAAAAAAACACTGTAATTTAGACAGCCTTTAAGCAGTTGATCAAAAGGTTCTGACAGAAGAGATCTAAACAACAGTTAAGGATGTTTCCATTTTAACTGCTTATCCCCTTGGGAGATCACCACCTCTGCAGGGGAGCCGGCAGAGTGGGATGGTGTGCCCGTGCCTCAGCTGCTGCAGTTGGTTAACTCTGCCTACCATCTTCAGCTGCACAGGCAGGTAAACACACACTAATCTGCCACAAAAAATTGGGGAAGCTGGTGCCGACCTCCATCACTACAGTGCCAGCAGGGGTACTGGCCAGATTGCTAGAGGACAGAAAACACCTTAAACCACTGCAATGCCTTGCTCTGTTGCAATAAAGGAACAGATCTTGCACAAGCTTAATTCTCCTGGTCCTAAAGTAAATTATGCCCAAGTTGTCCATCTCCACCCATTTAAAGAGAGGAATTGTTAGATGGAATATAAAAGCATTCATAATGGATGCCTGACATTCCTGTGATCAGCACACACCTGCTTTACACAGTCCTCCTCATGCTGTGGAGCAAACTATCAAGAAGAGGGCACAACTATTTCAAGATCAGAACAACCACTCCTCTTTCAGCCAGGAGCCAAGAGTTTATTATTAAAACACAGATGAAGCCAAATGAGAATTACGTCAAATATAAAATGCTCTTCTTAAATGTCCTCCATCCAAATTCTGCAGCTCCTGTGTAAGCTTCATTAAGCTCATGCCCTTTATTAAAAGCACATTTTCCTCATTAAGGCTTCATTTTATCCAAACATCAAGAACTCCAGAAATTACTCCAGATATACCAGAAACTTAACAGCAGTGAGTTGCTGCCAAGGCCCATTTCAGATTGATAGCAATTTTAATAAGAAGCGATGTATTTATTGACATATAGATCCTGGATTTATTATTTTGTTATCTGAATAATTTTTATGAGCATTTGAATGGGATTTTACCACTGAATGTTACTGCAAAGGCCAATTTCTCAAAGCTTTATCAACTGGCTGCAAATATATTGCATTTCTGTACTTGTCATGGAAAAGCAAAATAAGTGCGATGCATTTTACCAAATTTCATCTTGCAAGTCACTTCCAAGACCTGTACAACCCCCCAGACTGCTAAGAAGCTAAGATGGGGAAGCCGACAGCAGAACTGGCTATTGGTCTCTCTCTCCCTCTTCCATTGCAGAGGCATTAAACTCATAAGTAAATTTCCAACTCTGTAAAAGACTTTTAGCCAGCAGACAGTCTTCTCTCCTAGCAAGGATTAGCTCCCACGTATTTGTACATAAATATGTGCTGGACTGGAATTCAACAGTTTTACTGAGTAAGCAGATCTCCTGAAAGCCAGTTTCAACATCATAGCTTTTGCGTCATCTAATCTAATCAATGCAGTAGAAGCAGGTCACTCACCGATCGATCACTATCTCCTTCTGTCTTAGCAGCCCCTCTTTAATTTTCATTAGAGATTCCCAGTTGCTGAAGTCCTGATAGCTGGTAGCTGGGTAACTTTGATGAGATGTTCCAGTTGGAACCTGCATAGAATAATTGTAGAATTAGCCTCCAAAACAGTAAAGGTAAATAATATCCTAGATAGTATGGCATTTACAAAGCAGTTTGTTGTTTCAGAAACCTAACAGTTGTTTCTCAGTTTAATTCAGATTTGTTTATATATAAACAATTGTATTTACAACAAGTTTCTTGAAACAAACTTCAATCCAGTGTCAGTGATTTAAAACTGAATTTATCTTTTCTCTACTAAAGAATCCCTAGCTCTGAAAGCAGTTTGAGGTGAAAAGCTTATTTAGAATTTAAGTACATAATTAAGACAAACGCCACAAAATGTTCATATCCTGCTGCAATTCTTGTAGTACTACAAACAAGATAACTTGATAGCTTCCGACCTGGTAACTGCGGGTAACAGTTACCATTCCTTTAACTTGTTTGACGCCCACCTGTAACTTTAGCATATGAGAAATTGCCCTACATGTGTATGCATTTAAAATAGAGAATATGGGAATACAATTCTGGTTAAATTCTAACTGCTTCCAAGAATAAAAATTTCACAAGTAACAGACTTCAGGCTTTCCATTCATCTTCACAAAAGCCAGGCTATGTGTCTCACAACAAACTGCGGATGACAGTTGAACTGAGTATGAACCAACAACATTATGGTTTGGGAGAAAAGTAAACAACTAACTGGGATGTTTAATCAAGAAAATTTTTATATTCAGAAGCTAAAAAGTATCACAAGTATTTGTATCAGGAATTCACATAAAGGAAGGTTTAAATTAGAACTTTTGTGATCAGACTGAGGGATCCCAGCACTGGCTGCCATTAGGTACCACCTAATCTTCCACCAGTTTTTTAATGACTGAAAAAAAGATTTCTCTTTTTATTACCTGGGAGGCATCCTGAACTATGTTGCCTTTTTATGGTTTTAGAAGAGAGCAGAAGGGGAAAAAAGTGAAAATATGGTTGTTTTTTTTTTTTTTTTTTTTTTAGTTCAAATAGATTTCAGGATATTTTTATTTGTATTGCTCTAAAATGTTTTAAATGTCATTTGAAATTACAATGAACTGTATTAAGACCAAGACATATCTTCAACAATTAAAATTAGGTAAACAACTGTCAAGCAGTCCAAGCTTCTGGTCAAAGCTTTACTGTGAATTGTAACACTCAATAGAGAGAATTCATTGCCTAAACCCCCATACCATGATGTGGTGAAGTCAGGGACCAGCTCCTGACAGGTGTGGTCTCTTCTGTAAGCTGAAAAAGTATTTTTTCTCCATTCAGTCTAGTTCAGTTCAATCCCTAGCTTGCCCATTGATAAAACGGACAGAAACACATTTTTCATCTTTTAATTTAGAACTTAAAACCAGATGTAAGATGACAAGACTTACTAGTTGTAAAATCTTTCAAGACTGTCACACACACCTCCCCCTCCCCAAGTCTAATTCATCGGCTTCAAGGAATATTTCCTTTGCTTAATAAAATGGATAGCTTCAATAGTAAAATTAGTTATGAATCATTAAAAAAAAAATTCAAAAGTTCTAGACAGTAAACACTTCATGCCAATTTCTGGCCAAAGACACACTGAAAATGTTGACTGTGTTCCTTGCCGGACAGTATCAAGTATTGCATCTTTATTGAAAAGACCATATTGACTGGATAAACAGTGCTTTTTGAGGAAAAGTAAAATGTGAAATAATATTAAAATCAGATTTTCTCTTAAAATGGTTCACTGATTTATGACTACGGTTAATATTTCTTATCCCATGCTCATTCATGATTATATCCCACAAGCAATAAAAAACACAGAAAACATTTGAAATTCTCTCGATTGCTGTGCCTAAGAAAAGTGCCTCATACTACTGCTTACTGAAGCATATTCTGGGTTTGAAAATTTTGTGGGAATTCAATTTGTCACATCTGCAATTTCTAGTAAGTCAATCCATTAAACCTATGCCTGTTCAAGGAAGTTATGTTATAGATGGCACTGCACCCTACTGTGAGGCAAGGAACGGCAAAGCTAAGTGCTACCTGGATTAAGATCTACCACCCACTTGTTAACATTTGCAATAGATTTAACAGTTGTCTTCCTTCATTTTTCATATAAAATGATCAATATTAGCATTAAAAAAATCCTACATCGGTGATATCACCGTGGCTTTTTTTGTGTGTGTGTTTGTTTGGCAGAGGTCTGATAGAACTTACAAAAGACACCAAGTCATGGTTCTTCCTGTAAGTAACACAAGTGCAGAGTCTTTAAGGATCAATGAATCTAAAATTAATTTTGCCTGGGTCACTCAATCCAGACTAGATAACTTCAAAATTGTCTTTGGTCCTTACAGAATACCTCAGGATTGTCACATATTGTTCCGTACTACAGTTATCTGGCTGAATTAACAGGCACCAGCACAAAACTCTATCAGTAAAGGTCTTAGTCGCACATGTCTTTGTCACTGTACTTTAAGTCATGAAATTTTTTTCCTTTGCTTCTCCCATTATATTGTTGAAGAATGCTTTTCTATATCCAGCTCAACACCATCACGCTACAGTCAAAAAAAAAGAGAAAGAAACAGTCCTTAATGCAGTTAGGATTAGACCCTTACTTTTCAGAGCCAGAAATTCCACCTCTACCCAAAAGAAACAACCCACAAGTGTTTGACATGGTAAACACAAAATATATGGCTTTATAAAGCCAAATCAATCCATCTACTGAGCAAGGTGAAGTTTGTCTTTAAGACTGAACTATAAAAAGGAAGATATTAAAAGATTACTATTGAAACCCATCTTAATTGAAAACATTTTGGAAGCCACCAGTGGTTTCACTAGCAAAATTCTTCAAAGCAAGATCATTACTTCGATCTAGCACCTTTGCAGACTTCATAGTTTGCACTAAAATTAGAAAGAAATGCTTCAACTTTAGTACAGTAAGTGACTATACAAGAAGTCAATTAAATATTAAGGCTGCTGAAAAGCAAGGCAATGAGTTCTGCAGAGTAGTATTTTTGTCAACTACATGCTAACGATAGTGTTGTGGTTTGGGGTTTTTTAATCTAAGATATAAGGCCTTCTTAGCTGACTGACCGAGATGCTTTCAGCTTTGGAATATATCACAGAATCACAGTGATTATCTAATATATCTAATATATCTAATATATATAATCTTTTGAAGTATATACGTGATGTATATACATATGTATCAACAAATAAAGTATTATTTTGTATTATAACTGTGTGCTTCAATTTGTCACTCTGAACAGATCAAAACAACAAAAAATATTTGTTTCTGATATCATGTTTCAGCCAATTTAAAAAAAAAAAAAAAAGAATACGCTAAAAATAATTCTCAGCACTTCCCAGAATAACAAGACACTTCACTCATATATGAGCACATGGTGTTGACTACTCCAAACAGCCTTCTAGCTGCTTTGAATGGTGTGGTAACACACAGGTGGTCCACTTGCATTTGAGTATTTTGTCTCCTAAGGACATCAAACCAAATAGTGAGAGCAAGATACACTTTTAGGACTCATACACAGAAAGCCATCCACAACTCCAAGTCCTCAACTTGAATCCTCCACAACTATGAAATAAAATACCAGCTTGAAACACACAGCATTCTTTTCCATCTGCCCTATAAAATACAACTATTTTTGTCGCCTGGCACCTCTTCCAAGAGTTCAGCCTTGGACTGAGAACATCTGTTCAGTTAAAACAGTATCCTTTGCACAGTGGCGTCCAAAGGTCCTCACTAGCTTGTTTTTTGACAAGGGCTTGGCCTTGACTTTCACGACCTGGCAAGCCTTCAAGTCACTGCTGAGGCACAGCTAGCTGCTGGGCAAAAAAAAAAAAAAAGAAATATAAAATATTTGTTGTACTAGCCTATATGCAAATATTTATTGCTGGAACACACATTGCTGACTGATTCCATCATGTTTCTTAACAGTGGGAAAATGATTTTTCTCTGGACTAGAGGGTAAAAACATTGGATAACTTAGGCTAATAACGGCTGGGTTTTTAATTGTGATAATTATAATTATCGTCTCCGAACATGTTCGTAGTTTCTGCCTGAAGCAGTTCACTGTCTCAGCACACAGAATAGCACAGTATTCCACGTAACATGCTGTATCACAAAGGTGGAATCCAAAAATGTCAAAATGATAGCTAATCTCAAAAAAGCAATGGATTTTAAAGGGTTGGGTTTTTTTCTGAAAGTTGCAGTTTAAATAATTTAGCACTGTCTATAATACAACTGTAAAGTTTTCACAGCCCATTACTAGCAGCTAGCAGAGTGCCAAAAGTTATGCTAAGTGAATGATCCCTTTTGGCCAACTGCTTGCACTGCCCTACGCTTTCATAAACCCCCCTCAGTATGTATCATTCTTCTCTTGCTTCATTTTACAGGCGTTCATTATTCAGGAGAAAGAGAATTCCTTGCATCCACAGCTAATCCAAAGGAAAGAATTGGGGCAACCAATGTCAGTAGGAGCGCAAACAGTTCCTCTTCTTTGACTGACAATGGAAGAAACAAATGTGAGTGTCCCCACTGGCTGTGCCTCAAGGACACGGCACTTGCCCTACCACCTCACTGGGCAATGAAGGAAAAAGAAGAGGTGGATGTGGCAGCAGTAAGCCCAAATGCACTATTATCACAGACATGACTCTTGCTCTTTGCTCCCCTGTGATGGGGAAAAGGATTAGCTCTGTAAAGACAGAGCAGCAGTCACAACGAGCTCTGCAACTGCTCCCTGCCCTGAGTAAGGAAAGAAGGATTTACCGTCCCTTCCTCCCCACCCAGATTTCTTCCTAACATCAGGCTGAGTGTTTCAGCTCACAACATCTCAATTAATTCAGACAATCCCAGAGGATCATCCATCTTCTTGCCAGTAAAACACGACGGGGCTGGTGGCTCTCATGCAGGAAAAGTGAGAGGAAGCTGCAATCATGGAATCAGGCCCTAATTTTAAATCACTTTAAAAGCAAGGCAAGGAATCATTTCTATAGAAAGAGACTGTGCCTTGCTGGA